ATCAGATTTCATTATTTATCTGCGCTATTGAATCTCTTCATTTTATAGAGAACCCTTCATTTATTGCATAAAATATCATTTACATCACATTGCACGCGCATCGAGAAATCACATCGTATGATGAATATTTGCTATTGACCAGGATTGAATATAATGGCACTTGTGCGACAGAAAGAAGAGAATCACGATCTTTTATGATCGACGACAATTATCGGGATATATATGTAGAACTGTGATTGTCAACCGCGATTCAAATCCCATCAATTTCATCGCACACTTACCGGTTTCCTATCAGTAAACGAGGGTGAAAAGTATCGCGCGTCGACGATAAATGAATTTGATTGCAGATAAAACGTCGCGACGTTGAACTATAAACTTCCGTTGTCTCTTCCGCGAATAATACCATCGGCGAGCACCGGTTTTGTTTATCGATCGAATGTGTTCGCTCGCGATACCTGTGCACCATCGACCACACGGGCGTTAAAATTAAATTACGCTCGCTCCAGGAGACACCGTCAAGAAGTATGGGCTAGCTTTTTTTTAAATGGCGCAGAAAATCAATGCCGGGTTTTCTCTCTGTCTCTCTTGTTCTCTCGAGGAGTTATTGTTCGCCTGGCAATCGATGCAAATCGAATCTTTGGGTGTTATCGAGCAACCCAGTCAGCGATTTTGCGCGGTCATTAAATCTTCCAAGGACTGGATTTTTCGACGGATCTAGATGAAAGCCACTGAGAGAACTAACGCGATGAAGGATCTATCACGATTTATTTGCAGATTTTCCATATAAGCGTGATGAAAAAAATTTTGTGCATAAATCGCAGAGTATTTTTTACATTTTTAGTAGTGATTTTCGGAAAATCTCTTTTATGTATCTCGCCTAATTTATTTTTACATAATCACAAACAGTATAGACATAATTTATTACATAATTTAAAAAGATTCGACATATCTAAAGACAGAGCGCGAGCATTTTATCGTCCAACTCAGGTAGTAAATAATAAAAATAATTTCACACAAACAATTCATCTCCGACGACTAAACGAATTCCGATGTCGTGATTCGGTGCACCGTACATGTTTCGCGAATTTACGGGCCGAGCATAAAACACTCCTTGTAAACGGGCATTGCAATAATTATTACGGACGACGACGGGCGTCGTTTTGCAGTAAACGGGCTTTGCGACTGACGTACAATGCCGTATATTCGCAGCCCCCGGGGAATTGCAGTAGATCATTATTTAGCATAGCTTTCTCGACGGTCATAAGGTGGAAAATGGAGTCGACGAAATATCGGCTCTGTTGGCACGACCGTTGATTCAGATGGAAAAGTGCACGAGGCAGGAAAGGCGAAACCAGCGAAACCGGAAGGTACGTGCCGACGTCATCGTTGCATACGATGACGTTTTCGTCTTTCCGGCTCGACTGAGACGAGCTCTCTGCCTCGACAAGGATTTATTATCATCGACGCGCACCGACGACGCAAAACATGATGAATCGTATTCGCTTCCGCGTCACACGACGTCCCTTCTCCTGCTCTCTTTCCGCGAGACAGCTTTCTAATATGTTTTAATTAATTGTCGCTTGATTAATTTATCATTATGCCACGTGTTATACGAGAGACGGGGTTTAATGCCGGCTTTAATAGCTTTATTATTTTTAGAAGAGGAAAATCTGATAGCTGTAGTCATATTTAAGGCGTTATATAAGAGTATACGGTAGAATTTCCTACGCAAACATTTACTTTGCTGCCTAATTACGAGGCTAGCTGATGTTAAGATTATATCGAGACTGCGCACACATGAAGACATGATGAGTAGATTACAGTCAGCTAATAACTCTATTTTATCTCGAAAAGGATTTATTCGGATTCGAAACTTCTCAAAAATGGAGAGAAGTAATAAAGAAAAGATTAAAATTACAATATACAAAGTATATGCATATCCAAAATTTTATATAGAATATATTATGTATTTTTCCTTTCTTTTCTTGCATGTGTATATAATAAGATAAATCTATGATTCAATAACGAATTTGATAAAATGTTTAGCAATTGATTTAAGAATCACACTCTCTTGTGACTCATCCATGCTATGAATCAGCAATCCACGTGCGATTACGTGTCCGGCTATTCCAGGTAACAATCGTGTATACTTCAATATAAAGTAATAAATATCTGATAAATTGTGATAATCTAATAAATATATATCGCGTAAATCGCCAAAATAATTAAGCAGCCAAATGAGATTATAAGATCCATTTACAGCAGTATGCATATATATTTAATGTTAAACAATATTTTTAAAATATACTGTTGAAATATGCATACATGTTGTCTCTTGGCCAGTAATAGACTTCATAATTTATATGTTATTAAATAATTATCTTGCTAATAAAACGCTAATAATATACCATACAGTTTTCTATAAAATTATGATATGTGAAATTATGATATGTAAAATTATATATTGTAATGTTTCAAGAAACTCTATCTTATAATATTATAAAGATTTAATTTAGTTTGGCGAAATGTAATATATTCATAATGTACTACATGTGTATCCTATTATAATTATTGTCTGATTAAACGATGTAGTAAAAGTATCCAGCTAGAACATGCGGATTAAAAAGAACAAATTTTACTAGGTGTGCACGTGATCTATTATTTAGATCATGTAAATCAAGTGTAACAAAACATATATATTTAGATATTAATGCGCGAACGAGACAAATCTCGAGGTTTAGCGTTTATTATTATTTATCTACGTGTCATGTAGATCGCCAGGTCGGTGTGGCATCCAGGGGGGCTCGCTCTTATTTAAATATTTAATACTTTAATCGCGCGCAGTAACACGGTGGCGTGAGTATAGTCGAGAAAAGGATTTTGCGGGTGCAAACGATAAACCGTATGTGTGTGTGTGCGTGTGTGTACATGTGTATGCGTTGCTGACGTTAAGCGGATCGAAATTCTGTGTCGGTGAGAAAAAAAAATTTAATCAAACGTCCCTGTTGTACGCGGCCGCGCTTCGGTGACTAATTAATGAGAATTTCAACCCCTGCCGATCTCCGGCCTCGCTCGTGCAACGATGGTAACGAATTAAAGAGTTTAGTATCGTCGACGGCCAATAACAGGATATGATTAATTAACTCACAGTATACGCGAACGCGAATACGCGTTTCAGCATCTTCCTTTATATCCTATGTTATCAGTGCTTTCTCCCTCTCATTTTCTCCTCCTTCAATTAGTCCGATACAATGCGCCGTTTTTTATGATCACATTTCTAACGTGATGCGACATTAAAAAAATCAGGCATAAACATGGGCTTGTCGGCGCCTATTATCATCTGCGAGCAAGAAGAATTAAAAGAAGTAACCTGATATTGTACGGAATTATGGTTAAGATTTATAGTCACGGAGAATAGTTGCAATACTTGCATCAAAAGCATTATTAAACAGTGATTAATTGCGGACGCTGTCCTCTTACCATCATTTTTAAAACTTACGCGTGAAAAAGATTTAAATTATATTTTTATCGGAAAAGAGATATAAAATCACATACACACACACGCACACATACACATACATATTGTACCCTATACCTTGTGACTATACTAGCAAATTTTTCATTGTCCAAAAGCGATGTCGTGGTCGCATAACCGGATTTTATCAGCGCTTCCGAAGTAAATGTAAAAAATGTCGAAGCCTCGACGATATATGATTACTCAATTTTGCGGCGCGGCGGCGTCTGTGGAAATATGAGAGCACCAGCATGCGTAGTAATAATTCATACCCGTCATTTTTGCTTTTGCTCTCCTCCTCCTCGTCCTTCCCATGCACCTTCTCCTGCTTCTTCTTCTGCGTAATATCACGCTACTGCTCGCAGCCAAGATTTTCTATTCTACGTGTTCATCCATCATCGTCCACGCTACCCGGCTGTCTCGATACGGCCTCCGTTGCGGTTGCGACTCAGCAGTCATACCCACACGAAATGTTTGAAATAATCTCTCGGTTATAATGGCTCCGTCTACAAGCAGTTAAAATGATCTACCTACAAATCTGTCTGACTGGTCAAGAATTAACGAGAATGCTTTTATCGAGGATAAAAGAGTGGAGGAATGTTATTTTTGGACTTTATGCTGTGTTGATAAATATACTTTGCAAAATCCAATACCGCGCTTGCTTTTGTCCGCCATATTATCCACTGATGAGACTCGAAATATTCAAAAAATAATTATATATTTCAAACTGTTCTCAATCTTAGTTCCCTCGAGCTGACAGCAATTTTTTGTGGTCGAAAGATAGCGGAAAAAGAAATAGACTTACCGCGATTGTCGACGAAGCGAATAAATCATATCTATTCGTCCACATCAAGAAGCAGGTCATTAATGTAACGGAGCTGTTATGTCGGAACGAGCGTGACGTCACTGGTCGAAATCGAGCGACCCGCGCGTGCCAACGAATTAATCTAACAATAAATACGATCGAATCGACAAAAAGATTACGAGCCCGAAACGCACTCGATTTCCACGAAATCCGGTCGACGAATACTTTCATGTAACACTCCCGGTAAACCGTCCCGAATCGCGAATCGCAGTTAAAATTCAACGAAGCTCGCGCGAATGCCATTTCCTACAGTTACGCCGCGAATTCAGTCGAGCCACCGGAATCGAGGCGCGGAACGTCAGAATATCGTGACGTCACCGGTCAAAATCGAGTGAGCCGCGATGTCGGGCGAGCGTGTTTATTTCTAGAGCGTATTAGCAAGTTAATCTCCGCTCAATTTCCATCAAATCGATCCAAGCAATGAAAGATTACAAGCCCAACACGCACTGAGACTCCACGAAATCCGTTCGACAGATATTTTCGTGCGAAAAGGTACCACTTTCGCCGACTTTACGCACTTCCGTTAAGAACCCGGAATCGAAGCGCGGATCGCGGACCGCGAACCACTCTGATTTCGGTTCAGTTCCGCTGCATATTCAAAGCGCTGAAGCGGTGGAAGGTGGCGGACGCGTCGATAACAAGATACGGTCTACCTATAATTCTGTCGTTTCGGATCAAATCTCTGTTTGCACAAAGCTAGGAGTGCAGAAACCTGGATTCTTGAGACAGGTATTTGCGCAATTTTATTCCCAAGCGCGGAGAGCATGGGCGACTCCGAACGGACTTGTTTACAGAATGCGTAAACGAATTCCAGTAGTTTTTATTTTTCAGTTTCAGTTTTCCTTCTTTATTAAGGATAGGCAATATGATATCTGACAATAAGAGTGCAATAGGAAGAAGAAACGCGTTTTAACACTCTCCGATGACGCACTTAACTTGGACAAAGTGAAATAATCCGAATTCTTTCGGTTCTGAAAGATACTTATGCTGATTTCGGTTAGTTTTTTGACGCAATTAACCTCAAGGTAATAAGAATGTTATCCTAACCTATGTCAATTATTGTATAATTGTTTTTTATAGTTAATAAAAATATATATATATATATGTATGTATATATGTTTATATATATATATATATATATATTTCATACATAATCTAATGTATATATTATTTTTTTACAGGATCAGAGTATTTTATATTTTGGCATAGAAAAAAAAAGATACGCCTAAGAAATATCATCTTGAGTAACACGATAAACATTTTTCAGTTTTTTGGCACGACAATTGTTAAGCTCAAGGTAATAAATTAAGAATAATCTTAATCTATTTCAATTATTGTATAATTGTTTTTTGTAGCTAATAAAATATATATATATATATATATATATATATATATATATATATGTATTTATATATGTATGTATGTATATATGTTATATATATATTTCATATATAATCTAATATATATATTATTTTTTTACAGGATCAGAATATTTTATATTTTGGCATAGAAAAAAAAGATACACCTAAGAAATATCATCTTGAGTAACACGATAAACATTTTTCAGTTTTTTGGCACGACACAATTGTTAAGCTCAAGGTAATAAGTTAAGAATAATATTCTTAATCTATATCAATTATTGTATAATTGTTTTTTGTAATTAATAAAAAAATATATATATATATATATATATATATATATATATCATATATAATCTGATATATATATTATTTTTTTACAGGATCAGAATATTTTACAGTTTGGCATAAAAATGATATACCTGAAAGAAGTACTAAGAAATATCTTGAGCACAATAAACACAATAAACGGTTTTTTTCCAAGCAACCAATTTTATTTTCGCGATGCGAATTACTGGACTAAAATTTATCGTAACTTGGACAATTGCGCGTATATCGCGCTTAGAAAGTGTAGCCTGTATAGCGCAATAGTAGTCGCCATGGCTTCTGTGACTCCACTCGTTATCCCAGTTCGTGTGGAAGGGTGCATACGAAATTAATTTCTTGCGCGTGTGTACGCCAACCGGTATCGATCGATAACCTGAAGCCGGGAACAGCGGCAAAGTATACCGAAACGACGTGTACGCTCTCGATAAATTATCAAAGACTTGTCGTGAAATGACGTCTAACGACCACCGTATTCCGCGGTTGTAATGGACCGCGGAAAATATGACTTCGCTTGAACAGGACAATGAACACACATTTCGCACCAAGGAGATGCTTTTTAAACAGGCCAAACAGCCGACGCTGATGTCGTTTTGATAATGCGAGCAAATTAACGCGAAACGATTTATGACACGGCTAAATTAATTTGATTGCAAGATGGAAAAGTTTGTACTGGAAAAAGGATAATAGATCAGAAATCTGCCGTTATTAGAAATGATCACATCCATTTATCTTCGACAATTATGTTATTTAACATGATAAAAAAATATGACCTATAAATAACAATACAAAAAGGTATGTAATTATAGCGTAACCCGAATTATTCAGAGAATGAATCTCGACCAAAAATAATCGCATTGTTATTGTATGTTTTAGGCAGAAGGGTGAAAGTGCCTGCGAGGGATGAACGCGAAATTACAGCGTGCTATCCCTGGAGTAAAAAAGAAATGATTATGAATATTTCAATAAAGCGTCCCTCCCTGAAAAGGATTATGACGCGACATGACAGTTTTACATCATCTATCGTGGATTCCTGATGGTGTGGATCTTAAGCTGTGCAGATGGATGGCAGGTTGAAATATCACGTTGCAACGACGTTGAGCTTGAAATAATTCAGCGAATCAGTTTTGACAGGTATGTATTAAGTTCTTTAACTTGCTGCCTGGTCGTGATTTTTTTCAAATTGTCAGATTGAATAGTGACTGTTGCTCACATGTAAAAGTATCGTGAAACAAACTACATGAGAAAATACTATATGAAAAATCATGACTATTATTGTTTTAATTATTGCATTAATTCAATTTTGTGTTGTGAATTTTTGTTATAAATGGTATTCTATAATATCATAAAATAGCAAGATCTCTCTTAATTGCCGAGATCTCTCTTTTAATAAGTACAATTACAAAAATTTCTATTTCAAAATACGTAGTTTACAATATGCTTTTATATATACATTGTATAGAAAATGGAATTTACGCGATTCCAACTGTGTATGTAAAAAAAGTGTCTTCCATAATTCGCATGGTCGATTTTATCTATCGGATAACGATAAAATGCTACTTTTTTATATCAAAGAATATTTAATTTTTCTATCTGTAAAAAGTGGAAAAATGTAAGCTGCTTTTTGTGTCGAGTATAGAGATAGAATTTTTATTGCGATTTAATCAATAGTGTGCCAATATTACACAATTTCACATTGTTGCCTCAGTTATAATGTTATAACATCGAAGAGGATTTTGAATCAATTGATGTTTTGTTCGTTTAAGATGTTCAGACACAAAACATTGCATTTTCGTGGAAACAACCGCGCTAAAGTAGAACGCCAAGAGTACTTTACTCGAGGTAAATGAAATCTTGTGCATTACGGAACAGAGTACGAAACGGTACATTTCGTAAGTAGTAGAATAATACTATTGTCGACAAGCTGTGAGACTTATTATGCAATGGCATGCTTATTGTTATAATTCTACGAGATAGGAAAATCTGTCAGAATTTCAAACTATCTGCTATGATACGCTCCAAAAATTTTAATGGAATGACAAAAGAATCAGAAGAGAAAAGATGAGTGACATAATTGGAAGAACTTCTAATATTTTACTGACATATATTACGAAATATTACCATTTGAAAATAGACTAATATTTTTTGTAATAAGACTAACTAACGCGCGTTTCTTTATTATACATCATATATACAGTTTTATCTTGAAAAATAAAATTCATTTTGAACAACATTCAGTGATTTCCGTTACTTCGTTGTCGATAGGATAAAAAAAATTAAATTTCTCTCACTTAATCGGATTCTATTTATACGAGTAATCACCTCGATTCGTCTTTTTCACAAATTGTTCGATTATTTAGAATAGCGACGTGCAAAATTGCATGGCAGACATTGCCGCGCCAGCGATGACGAGGGCCGCAAATTTCGTTACAGAGAACCGAGGATGGTGCGTGATCGTGGCTGAGAGAGTTTCCAATTTGCGAAATTACCCGTGAGACCCGTGCATTTATGAGCTGAGATAAACGACTAAGCAAGTATCCGTTAAATAGAAAGATACATTGGCATTGACTGTCTACTCTCATCAATTCGGATCGATATCTTTTTCTTGCGTGTCTTCTCTCCATTTCGCGTCTATAAACCTCTTTCTTTATAAAGCTCTTTCTGAAGTAGTATTATACGGAAAGTGACTGTTATGAAACGATCTGTACTATGTCATATCCAGCACTGTTATCGACTTATTTTCAAATGTGCGGTAAAAGAATAGAAGTCTTTAGTAATGTCACATCCACCTGTCTACGCGCTAATTTCGCATTTTATGCGAAAGCGCTCATCGCAATCCGTTAAGCACGTCGCATTGTACGATATACTCGTATATTGAAAGACTCGCCGGACAAATCGCGTCCGAGAGAGTTTCAATGTACTTGAGACAAAACCTGAATCGCCAAAACACGTAAATGCACTCGGCGATTACGGAGGAGAAGTAAAAGAGTCGCTAAATCTCGAATGATCTTCAGAAACGTCATATTCACAGTATTATCGATCTCTCTTGTATATACGCGATACATTTACGTACGCGCTTATTATTTCTGCTCTTGGAGAATATCCAGTTCAGTTTGTTGAATTGTTTAAATCATGAAATAATACGCGGGCAGTTAGGAAATAAATGGCTCTCGAAGGAGCTAATTGAATTCCAATAAATTAACGATATCCAGACATCGAGCGAGAAGAACGCTCGGATTTTACAACCAAACTGATATTTCTTGCTACAAAATTGCGTTATACAGAATCGGGCAGAATAATATCGTAAAAGCTGTTTGACGAGAAAAACAACAGCTGTCGACGTGATCGATTTGTCGAGCATTTAAAAAATCGGCTAATTGATCAAGTTGAAAATGATACGCTAACGATATACTCGTAAAAATCCCGTTGTTTCAAAAGGGCGGAATCGTGAAAAATGTACATGTGCGTTAACAGAGACGAAAACGCCCGATAAACAATTTGGCAAATTGGCTCGCGCCGGATTTATCGAACCGGCACTGACGCTAATAGCGCGGCCAGTTTGTAATTTGGTAATGGAATGGCCTGATAACGAGTTCGTGAGCAGATTTTGAAAACTACCAAGTAGAGTTCCTATATCGGTCGTAAACGTAAAATCGTGGATGAAGTATGTAGTTTCACAATGGCGTATGTATTTTTAATATTATGAGTTGAAGTAACATAGCGCTTTATAACGTACATTTCATTAACGGTGCATATAGTACGTATGGAAAGTAATATAAACTGTATGAGAGGACTGTCTATCGCATCCATTTATCGCATCGCATTTATATAAAATGTTACATGAAGTCCGAAATGTGAAATGTATTATTTGCGCTTTTTCGCTTTGATTCTCCATTTTCCCATATAAATTTCATTTGTTATATATTTTAACGACACGTTGCTAGCAAGCCAAATAAGATAAGCTTTATATTGTAAAATTTATATATTGTATAATACAAAAACACACATATTTGCGAAATTCAAATCGATCGCACCTCATAAACATGAGACACCGAGTCTGGTCGTCTTCTTTGCTTAAACGTCGTTTTCAGCGGTACAAAAGTTCTAATTGAGTCTTCAGCCGGGGCTCTCTAACTTCTATTCTCAAGTTCACGCCCGTCCCTTAAAGGGATTGGGAATTTAACAGGGGAAAAACCTGCAGTGTGGCAAGCGCCGACGGCTCTTTGTTGTCTGCATGTCCACTCGAGAGAAGGGATGAGAGAGAGAAACGAATTTGAACCCTAAACTTTCTTGGCTTCCATTAGTCACCCCTGTCGGCGTATCCCCTTTTATACGTTCGCTTCATCTTTGCATCTTATTATCAGGCAAGACTAACGCGCCTATTAAACTGTGAAAATGAATTTTTTTGCATGCATTTGTCACTCACATAAGGTGCTTTTACAAACGCGTTTCTAAAAAATTTTTTTATAAATATCAATATAAATACATAAATTAATAAAATCATGTGTAGGTAATGTAATTGAATTTTATGTTTTGCTTGCATTATTAATTTTATCATATTCAGATATGTATTTTAAGTAGAGTTTGCAATGCTGCGACTAGAATTA